ACAAGGTATACTTACATATGTCACTTTCACTAACACATGCACACTTCCCAGCTAACAAATGCATCTTGGTACAGTCATACCTCGAATTGCAAACACTGTGGGTTGCGCATTTTCGGGTTATGGGTTACTGTGCTGAGCCCGGAAGTACTGGAACGGATTACTTCCAGGTTTTGGCGCTTGCACATGCGCAGAAGTGCTGGATCGCATCACGCACATGTGCAGGCGTGGTGCTGCAGGTTGCGAACACTGCGGGTGCCTCCCGCATGGATCACGTTTGCAACCCGAGGTTCTACTGTACACTTGAATCGGTTGGAGAATAGCAATGCAAAATTCAGAGAAGAGTGGATTTTGAAAGATAGCTGTCTTTTGTTCCGTTGAGGCTGAATCGGGCAGGTTCACATGAACACCTGAGTTCACATTAACACTTGAACCAAGCTGAATTCCCCGTCTCCCTGCTGCCCTGCTCCTGCTCAGAAGATCTCTTTTCCTTTCTGCTGCAAAACCCAAATTTGCACTGAGGGATGCTGAGTGGCAGGATGCAGTAAACAAAGGGGAAGATGCTCGGGTCAAACCTGATTGGCCTAAGGCTGTTGCTTAGCAATGGCTGATAGCCTGGATACCTGAGGGCGGAAGCAGCAGGGAAATGGACTGGAGATGCAGGGAAGGAATGCAATTCCATGACCAAAGAACTGGTTTTATATCTTTATATTACACACTCAAACAGGGCCAGATTTAGGTTTGATGAGGCCCTCAGCTCCTGAATGTAATGGGGCCCTTTATATGTCCAGTTGTCCTTTGTCAACAACAAATTGTCACCTTTTTGTGTTAAATAAATGCTATATGGTAATTTATGGACCTAATAGGTCTCTAAAGCCACTTGTACATGTTGCCCTGCAACCAGTCCATGCAGAATGTAGGCACCCTTAAAAGACGCCTGCTTCTTGGGAGAAAAGCAATGACAAACCTAGACAGCATCCTAAAAAGCAAGAGACATCACCTTGCTGACAAAGGTCCGTATAGTTCAAGCTCTGGTTTTCCCAGTAGTGATGTATGGAAGTGAGAGCTGGACCATAAAGAAGGCTGATCGCCAAAGAATTGATGCTTTTGAATTCTGGTGCTGGAGGAGACTCTTGAGAGTCCTATGGACTGCAAGAAGATCAAACCGATCCATTCTGTAGAAAATCAGCCCTGAGTGCTCACTGGAAGGACAGATCCTGAAGCTGAGGCTCCAAGACTTTGGCCACCTAAAGAGAAGAGAAGACTCCTGGAAAAGACCCTGATGTTGGGAAGGATGGAGGGCACAAGGAGAAGGGGACGACAGAGGACGAGATGGTGGGACAGTGTTCTCTAAGCTACCAGCATGTGTTTGACCAAACTGCGGGAGGCAGTGGAAGACAGGAGGGCCTGGCGTGCTCTGGTCCAGGGGGTCACGAAGAGTCGGACACAACTAAACGACTAAACAACAACAACAACAAAATTGCCCACACCTGGAAGCACACTGAGCATCAGCATGTTCAACTTTAAGGGCAGCGTACTATTTCCCTGTTTATCTCTGCCACCGTTTTCCTGTGTCAGATTTTAGATTGTAAACTCCTGCTGGCAGTCACATATATCTCTTTAGCAGTGTTTCTTAACCGGGGGCTATATGGCTCCCTGCCCCCCCTGGATATTTCAAGGGGGCTGCAGGTGAAATTATATACTTATAATATACTTATAATATGATTATAAAAATTATAAATAAAACATGTTCTGTTTACAAATAAAATAGCTACCTTTCTACCGGTAGGACAGGGGGGTACAGGAAGGAAACAAGGTTGTTTGGGGGCCACGGTTGGATAAAGGTTGAGAAACACTGTTCTAAAGCAGGGGTAGGCAACCTAAGGCCCTGGGTAAGATCGGGCAGCGGCAGCGGGCAGCAGGGGTCACCGCAGGCTGGATAAACAAGTCCCTCGGGCCTTATCTGCTGCCCGCTGCTGCTGCCCGATCTTACCGGCGCTGCACGGCTGCCCACTTCCGGGTCGGAGGAGCACCAGAATAGCTTATGCGCACGCACAAGTGTCATTTGCGCATGTGCAAGCGTTATTTCTTGTGCACATTCGGGTCGGAGGAGGCCTGTGCACATGCACACAAGCTATTTCCAGTGCTCTTCTGACCCAGAAGTGCGCTGGAAATAGCATGTGCGTACGTGTATGGGCACGCGCTCCCCCGACCTCAGGCCCACCATGCGATCAGCGCTGGAGACACCGGCCCAAGGCGCAGTAAGTTTGCTGACACCTGTTCTAAAGCATCACTCATCCTTCCATTCATACATCTTTCTACCTAATATACCAGCAGGTGGCAATATAATCCAATAAGTGGTCCAGTTTTTTGATGAAATTTAGGACATACCCAGACCATCTCAAAAATCATGTACTTTTTCATTCCTCTTTTTTGGGGGCTATGACAACTACAAGACATGTCCACAGTCTGGGTGACATCTTGATTTTCCCAGAACGAAAACCTGCTTTTCTCCTCGACGTTGAAGGGGCCCGGCGTGCACCGTGCACCATGATGTCATGCACGTAATTCATTGCGCATCACAGCTTCAGCGGCTGGCTCCTCCAGAGCGCTTGACCTCCTTCAGACAGCATGATGCTGCATGTGCATGCCCCATCCCCTCAGTCTTGGGGGGGGGGGCAACCTGACGCCTCTGCTCACCAATTTCATATGGAATCTGGGAGGTTCAGATTTGTTCCTGGACCCTTTGCAGAAGCAACTTTGGGGAACCTGCCTTTTGGCTAAAACGAATGAGGGGCGCTCTCAGGTCCCTGGATTAGGGCAGTGTGCATTGAGCGCTTGTGGGATGTAACATAAGCAGTCAAATACAACATTTCCTGTTTGCCTAGAGTGGACACAGACAGGGAGATGTTGGTCCAGCCAGTTGAACTTCCTGTTACACCTTGGTCTGGAGCATCCTTCCTTTGCACTGATTGAGATTGAGGTTGAATCCTGACAAGACAGAAGTACTGTTTTTTGGGGAACAGGGGGTGGGCAGGTGTGGAGGACTCCCTGGTCCTGAATGGGGTAACTGTGCCCCTGAAGGACCAGGTGCGCAGCCTGGGAGTCATTCTGGACTCACAGCTGTCCATGGAGGCGCAGGTCACTTCTGTGTCCAGGGCAGCTGTTTATCAGCTCCATCTGGTACGCAGGTTGAGACCCTCCCTGCCCGCAGACTGTCTCGCCAGAGTGCTGCATGCTCTAGTTATCTCCCGCTTGGTCTACTGCAATGCGCTCTACGTGGGGCTCCCTTTGAAGGTGACCCAGAAGCTACAACTAATTCAGAATGCGGCAGCTAGACTGGTGACTGGGAGCAGCCGCCGAGACCATATAACACCGGTCTTGAAAGACCTACATTGGCTCCCAGTACGTTTCCAAGCACAATTCAAAGTGTTGGTGCTGACCTTTAAAGCCCTAAACAGCCTTGGTCCAGTATATCTGAAGGAGCGTCTCCACCCCCATTGTTCAGCCCCGGACAATGAGGTCCAGTGCCGAGGGCCTTCTGGTGGTTCTCTTACTGCGAGAAGCCAAGTTACAGGCAGAGGGCCTTATTGGTAGTGGCACCCACCCTGTGGAACGCCCTCCCACAAAATGTCAAAGAGAAGAACGACTACCAGACTTCTAGAAGACATCTGAAGGCAGCCCTGTTTAGGGAAGCTTTTAATGTTTAACAGACCACTGTATTTTAATACTTTGTTGGAAACCACCCAGGGTAGCTGGGGAGACCCAGCCAGATGGGCAGGGTATAAATAATAATAATAATAATAATAATAATAATAATAATAATAATAATAATATATGACCAGATAGGTGGGCATGACCCTTCCAGATCCCACAAAAGGAGCAGTCACACAGCCACCTTCCTCTCTTTCGATGCCTTTTCTTCTCTCAGCCAGCAACATGTGGGATCAGTTCCCATATGGGATGAACTCAAACCCTCTTATGTAACTCTAAGCTAAAGCCTCTTTGCCTTCAGGGATCCAACTGTGAACTGAATGTGAGTAAACTTCTTACTACTTTTAAAAGAAGACTGTTGTGTCTTTATTCTTTTAGGAGGGAATCAAAGGGGTCTTACCAGAAATAATATAACTTAAGATATTCTAACGAATCTGCAACTAGCTTCCTGCTGTGTAAAAAGGGGAATGTACTCTGCTGTATGAATAAACTCACTAGCGTGAGTTAGGAAAGATAATATTTAATCAATATATCCCCTCCTGCTACCCACAACATTCCCACAGGGCTGTGGTGCTTGTGGCGCAGGCCAGGTTCCCTGTGAAATCTGGCCACAAGCAGGTTGTTAATCCCATGCAAAGGTTCTTCAAAACACATAAGACGTTTATTCAGGTAAGATTTGGACAAAGCTTTGACATCAGCTCTACAATTCTTCCACACTGATCTCCCCACCCCAAAATATTTACTTGGCATCCCTTGCAAGCCTATCCTCTTTCTGACACCTCTACCCCCAAACCCTACTCTGAGGTCTTTTGCCAGTTAGCCATAGCTGTCAACTTACAGATTTGAAAATAAGGGACCAGCAGCCTCAAAAATAAGGGATCAGCAGCCAAAATAAGGGATTTTCCAAGGGGCACAGGTATGTTCGACTTCTGAGCCCCTCCGAGCCAAAGGCAGAAAGCCCAGCCAGCAGCCAAATGAAGCCTCAAGCGGTGGTTCCCACAGCGCAGCAACCCTGGCAAAGGGATGCAGCAAGGAAAACCACCATCACCTCTCTGCTGGGAAGCGCTGAGCAAAGGCGAGTCCCCAGGCAACACGGCCGATTTGATTGGCACAAGGCATGCAAGCTCCACCCCCCAGTCGTTCTTAGACTCCTTAGTGGGTGAGCAACGCAGCCAAGCAACACAGTTGGAGCCTTCCTCCTCCCTGGCTGGCAGGGAGGGAGGGAGGGAGAGGAGCTGCTTCCTTTGAAACCCAGGAAATTTAAGGGACATCATCAATAAGGGACAGCAGCGGGACACGGCACTGGGATAAGGGAGTTTCCCACCAAATAAGGGACGGTTGACAGCTATGCAGTTAGCAGTTAGTTGGCAAGACCACTTTGAAGAAGTTGTGTGACCTTATGGGAGATAGATTCCGCCAAAGACCTGGCTGGAGAAATTGCACCTCTCTGCTGCAGATCTCTGCTGCAGATGTTGCTCTCAGCTCCCTCAAGCTTTTCTGAAGTTGCCCCGGCAGCTATGATTTTGCAACCAATCCTACCCCCCCCCACCGACTCCAAACCGAAGGGTCCCCTCTACAGTGGGCAGAAGCAGGGCACGGATAATATTCCAGCTTCTGCTTTCAGGAATTCTGAAAATACAAGTTTCTCATTTTTCAGTTAACCCATTCCAAGGAAGGACCGAGTCTTTGCAGAAAAGCACCTCTAGCACCAGGTCAGGAAAGCAAAAAGGCCCTTTCCCCCATTTTAAAGACCTTGAGGGTTTTGTTTTTACAAATCAAGCAGTATATGAGTTTTACGAAATAAGCAAAAGCGATGCTGTCTCTTTTCTCCTCCTCTTCTTCCAACTACGCTAAACAGTTCAGCTTCAAGGAGATATGGGTCCCTGTCGCAAGGGGTCTCTGTGATACGCTGCGGAAATATGCCCCCGAACTGCCAGAGAAAAAATGAGGAACCTTCCATTTGCAAAGCAGTTCCTTTTGCTTGGCGGCAGGTGGCAATGGCAAATTCTCAAGGCTGAACAGGCAAGATGTCTGAATGTCGGGAACATGAAGCAAAAGAGGGACTTTGAGGTCCAGCAAAGCCCAGCTTCTTCCAACAGAGGGCAGCACTGCACCGCTCCAAGCTGGCGCCCATCAGTCTTCATAAAATATGCTGATATTCCAGACTCATTTCGTTGGTTTCCTTTTCGTAGCCTGTTTCATTCTGACAAAGAGCTGGATGCAGCCATTCTTCAAGAAGCCATGACTTCCACTGGGCTGCCATCTCCACAGCTTGCAGCCACCAAAGCGTCCACATTTAGGGAGAGCACCAACCACACCTCGTTCGTCAAGCTAGCCTTGCTGCCAGAATGCACCCCCCCCCGGTGAAAGTGCCCGAGGGTCAGATTCTGTTCACTGCTCTTTGCATTCATTGTCCACGTGACAGACCGACTGGTGTGAGGGGCCATGCCTCAGGACGGGCCGGTGGACTGAGATGCAGTTGTCCAGGGTCATCCATCACCCAGCTGTGATTTGATGAGAAAGAGATCCCGGGTTCCTTCACGGGGAGAGGTGGGGGCGGAACGTGCGGGGGCGGATCATCATGGTGACTTTCTTGAGGGAGTAATAATCGGTGTCCTTCCACGTGTACCAGACCACTCCATCGGGGCCAAGAATCTTGCGGTTCTTCAGAGAGTATCTTCCACCCTGCGCATATGGACAACACGGGAGGAGAGGAGAGAGTGAGAGAGTTGGGGAAGAGAACAGAGAGTAAATTTGCACCTTTTTGCTAAAACCAGATGTGGAAGTCTGACACCTAGAGCTTAACGTGGCCCTCTAAATTAAGGGTGGATGATTCTATCAATCTCTGTTTCTCATTTCTGCATCAGTTTATGATTGCTAGGTTTTTTAACATCTCCATGAAAACCATGAGCATTCTGGTGTTGGTGCTGACCTTTAAAGCCCTAAACGGCCTCGGTCCAGTATACCTGAAGGAGCATCTCCACCTCCATCGTTCAGCCTGGACACTGAGGTCCAGCCCCGAGGGCCTTCTGGCAGTTCCCTCCCTGCGAGAAGCCAAGTTACAGGCAACCAGGCAGAGGGCCTTCTCGGTGGTGGCTCCCACCCTGTAGAACGCCCTCCTACCAGATGTCAAAGAGAAGAACAACTACCAGACTTTTAGAGGACATCTGAAGGCAGCCCTGTTTAAGGAAGCTTTTAATGTTTGACAGACTGTTGTATTTTAGTATTCTGTTGCAAGCCGCCCAGAGTTAACAGACCACTGTATTTTAATATTTTATTGGAAGCTGCCCAAAGTGGCTAGGGAAACCCAGCCAGATGGGCAGGGTATAAATAAATTATTATTATTATTATTATTGGTCGGGTGGGGTAAACCTGTTGACAACTGTTAACGACTGCAATTAGCCCAACAGGAAAAAGCAAGCGATAGTTTGCAGTTGACCAAAAATAGCTTTAGCATATATAGTGGAACCTCATGTTACGCACACGATCCATTCCGGAGGCCCATCCGTAACATGGAACTGACACAAGCCAAAGTGCCACGTCTGCACATGCGCACGACACGATTTAGCGCTTCTACACATGCGCGAGTGGCGAAACCCTGAAGTAACCCGTTCCGGTACTTCCGGGTTGCCGCGGGACGCAACACGAAAACATGTAACCTGAAGCGGACGCAACTTGAGGTATGACTATAAATTTAGCATATAAATTTAGCAATTTTTAGCATATTACACCCACCCACTCACAAGTTTGCTTGAAGCTGAAATTAAAATGAAAACTCGAGAGGGCATGTGGGCTGCTGAGGCCATCTCAGTGGCCTGACTTACTTTGTAGTAAACGCCGTTGAGGTTGGAGAAGAAACATTGGTGGTACCACCAGCCTCCATGGGAGATGGCAGCGCAGATATTCCCTGAGTCGGGCGTGCTGAAACTCCTCTTGTTGTGGTACCAGGCGAAGGAATCCTCCACCGTCCCACTGAAGCCCTCCACATGCAGGCGGTAGTAATTCACCTCGTTCTCGATGCTGCAAGGCAACAGGGAAGGTTTCTGAGAGCATCTTAGAGTGGGCTTCTAAGTCGTCGCTCCCAAGCCGGGGCAAATTCAGAGGGGAGGTGGTTTTGCAGAAATCAAAAGGAACGCTGTCCTTGGGCTTCTGGTTTCCTAACCTCTGCACTCTGCAGGCGAGGGCCTCCTGCAGATGGCATATTATTTATTTCTGCATTAAAACATTTGTATAGGACGCGGGTGGCGCTGTGGGTTAAACCTCAGAGCCTAGGACTTGCCGATCAGAAGGTCGGCGGTTTGAATCTCTGTGTAAGGGGACCCCTGACCATTAGGTCCAGTTGCAGACGACTCTGGGGTAGTGACGCTCATCTCGCTTTATTGGCTGAGGGAGCCAGCGTACATCTTCTGGGTCATGTAGCCAGCATGACTAAGCCGCTTCTGGTGAACCAGAGCACCACACGGAAACGCCGTTTACCTTCCCGCTGGAGCGGTACCTATTTATCTGCTTGCACTGGTGTGCTTTCAAACTGCTAGGTTGGCAGGAGCAGGGACAGAGCAACGGGAGCTCACCCTGTCGCGGGGATTCGAACCGCAGAGCTTCTGATCGGCAAGTCCTAGCCTCCGTGGTTTAACCCACAGCACCGTCCACATCCCTTTTGACCCAAATATAAGCCGCTCACAAACATAAGCCACACCTTTAAAATTGGAGGGGGGGGAGAGAAAAAAGAAAAGAAAAGAATACCTGAATATAAGCCACTCCCTTCTTCACTGGGTGAGCTGCACTGTGTTGTTGGTGGCTTTCCCCCTTCCTCACTCTCTCCCTTCCTGGCCTTGGGGGAGAGGACGGGGAACTACGCACAGGGCAGGCGCCGCTTTGCCACGCTCCTGGCACTGTTTGCCCTGCATCCTGGCTGCATACCGCAAGGCCACGATTATAAGTCGCGCTTTAATTTTTCACAGTCGGAATTGGGGGGAAAGGTGCAGCTTATATTCAGGCCAATACGGTATATTGAAGCGGTTTATAGCAATAAAACCAGCGTGCTTTTTTTCTGGGGGGGTACGCAGTGGTACGCATACCCCTAAACATTTTGTGAATCTAAGTTTGGCCTCATTGAGGGGCAGTTTTTCAATATGAGTAGGAAAATGAGAGTGCCCCTAAACATTTTTTAAAGAAAAAAAAAAGCACTGAATAAAACCATAAAAGGTTGAAAGCAGACATCAGCTAGGTACTGCGGAAGGATGCACTCTTAGTGTCCAGCACTGGCCTGGTGGAATGGAGGAGTTGGCAGTGGTCATTTAAGTGGTGACACAGAAGGCACCCGCTGAATCTCCAGTGGCAAGGAGTTCCGCAGGGCTGGGCCGATGACACTAAAAGCTCGGTTGCTGTAAATGAGACTTAGCAACTCAGGGAATGACCAGCGATACCCCTGCAGATGATCTCACTGACCGAGCTGGGATGCAAGGATTTGGGCTAGTTTGCAAGGATAACTTGAGATACCCAGCACCTAAGTCGTTCAGGGCTTTGTAAATTAATACAAGCAACTGGCTCAGCCCTCTTATCAGAAGGACTGTTCCACACAATGTAGGAATTGGGCCTTTAGCATCATGGCACCTGCCCTTTGGAACTCCCCTCCCCTTGAATATAAGGCCCTTTTGGTGGCTACTGAAAGAACTTTCTCTTCCAACAAGCCTTTTAAAACAAAGATCTTTCCCTCTCCACATCTGCAATGGAATTGTTCTTAAGATGCTTTTCAATGTTTCAATTGCTTTGTTGCTTGTGAGTTTCCCAGCCTGGGCTCCTTTGGGATGTAAAGGCTGGGGTGTAAACTTAAACGATTTTATTTATCTATCCATTTCATAAAAATAAAAAAATCAGACACGCCCATAGACATGTTTAAAATTTTTCCTGCTATTTCCCTCCCAATTGATAATTTTATGGTTTTATCTTTTTTGTAAACCGCTCAGTTTTTTGTTTTAACAATAAAGTGTAGGAATGGCATGAAATAAATGAATAAAACAAATCCCTGACCATTGGGCATGCTGGCTCTTGGGGCTGATGGGAGGGGGCAGTTCAACAACAGGGTGCTTTGGATAGAGGAAAGCAATCTTGTTGGTAACTTCTAAAATATGGGTGGTGTACTGTGGAGAGTGTATTAACTTATGATCTCTGTGTGTGGTTTGGGAGTGTGTACACGGTCAGGGGAAAAACAATGCTGTCCAGGGTTGTAAAGACTGCGGAGAGAATAATTGGGTGCACTCTTCCCACCTTGGATCAAATCTATGCTTCCAGATGCCATAAGAAAGCTGCAGAGATAGCGCAGGATAGTGTGCACCCCGGAAATGATCTCTTTCAGCTTCTGCCTTCTGGAAGAAGGTACAGGGTTATAAAGACTAGGACTAGCCGCCCGAGAAACAGTTTCTATCCAAATGCAATTTTGGTTTTAAATGCCGTGTAAGGAGTCTCTATGGGAGTATATTGTATTTAAAAATGGGGTATCAGAGGTTTTAGGGGGCTGATCAGGCTGGGATAGCTGGGATAGCAGGCTTGTTGGGTTTTGAATGTCTTATGTATATTTTTCAATTTCTTTGTTCTGTATGGGACAATGACAATAAAGATTATCGTATTATCGTGTTTTGCTGGGCAGTAACCCAGATGCCCTCTCACCTGTAGACCTACCTGAACAGCTGGTAAAAGGCATGTTTGTGCTTATTGTTCCAATCTTCCAGGTCGATGCGGAGAGAGTAGTCCCCTTGGCTGGTGATCTTGTGAATGTTTTCGTTGCCCATCCAGAATTCACTGCTCAACTCCCCAAAGCCGTCTTTGTACTCGTTCCACGTCCGGTTGAAATTGACCGTGCCATCCTGACGCCGCTGGATGACGGTCCAGCCTCCACCTGCCACACAATTGCGGCGAGAAATGTCATTGAACTGACAATCCAACTGAAAAAACACACACCCTGATCTGAACTTCTCCCACCCCGTTTGGAAGATTTAAAGGTAAAGGACCCCTGAGGGACGCGGGTGGTGCTGTGGGTTAAACCACAGAGCCTAGGACTTGCTGATCAGAAGGTCGGTGGTTTGAATCCCTGCGACGGGGTGAGCTCCCGTTGCTCGGTCCCTGCTCCTGCCAACCTAGCAGTTCGAAAGCACGTCAAAGTGCAAGTAGATCAATAGGTACTGCTCTGGCGGGAAGGTAAACGGAATTTCTGTGCGCTGCTCTGGTTCGCCAGAAGCGGCTAAGTCCTGCTGGCCACATGACCCGGAAGCTGTACGCCGGCTACCTTGGCCAGTAAAGCGAGATGAGCGACGCAACTCCAGAGTCGTGCACGACTGGACCTAATGGTCAGGGGTCCCTTTACCTTTACCTAAAGGACCCCTGACAGTTAAGTCCAGTCACGAAGCAGCAGTGGCGTAGCATGGGTTGTCAGCACCCGGGGCAAGGCAAGTAATTTGCGCCCCCTAACCCTGATTGCGCCCCCTAACCCGTGGATTTGCGCCCCCTAACCTGTGGATTTGCCCTAACCCCAGATGTTGCGCCTGGTGCGGCCGGCACCCCCTGCACCCCCCACGCTACGCCACTGCGAAGCAGCATCTGACCCAAGCATCTCAACATGTAAGGAAACACCAGGGAGGACCCGCTCCCATTGCCTCCTTCCATACCTTCCACATCCATCTCGCACAGCACTTCAATGGGCAGACCTCCATCGGATGGCATGATGCTATAGATGCCCGACCGCCGGACCCCGTTGTAGTATATGGAGGCACAATCGATGGGGCAGTTCTTGGCATGCTTCACATCTGCCGGGGAGGAAGGGAGAGAAAAACCATTTCAAGGCATCATCTGGACTGAGCCCGCAAACCAATAATAACAAACTGACTTTAATTGCTCCACCTAGGGTTGTCGTATTTCAAGAAGTGAAAATCCGGACAAAAAAGTTGTGGAGCTTCTTTTTGGGGGGGAGGGGAGCTGTTGAGTCTTCCTTCCTTCCTTCCTTCCTTCCTTCCTTCCTTCCTTCCTTCCTTCCTTCCTTCCTTCCTTCCTTCCCTCCCTCCCTCCCTCCCTCCCTCCCTCCCTCCCTCCTTTTTTGTGTGAAATCTCCAAAAAAATGAAGTTTTTGATATACAGTGGTTCCTCTGGTTGCAAACGGGATCCGTTCCGGAGGCCCATTCGCAACATGAAAAGAACTCAACCTGTAGCGGCGTGTCTGTGCACGCACAGGTTGCGATTCATCACTTCTGAGCATGCATGCGATGTCATTTTGCGCATCTGTGCATGTGTGAGTGGTGAAACCCGGAAGTAACCCTTTCCAATACTTCTGGGTCGCCACGGGATGTAACCTGAAAGAATGTAACGTAACATGAGGTATGACTGTATTCTTAAGGGAATTCACCAAAAAAGCAACACTTCCAGCATGGGTTGCCATACACCTGGGTTTTCCCAGACATTTTCTGATTTCCTGAAATTCCACCCAGACACTATTTCCAACGGACGATTCCCGTATATGTCCGGGAAATCCCAGACTTACGGCAGCCCTAGCTCCACACTGGCATGTGATTGGACCCCACCCAAGCACATTGAGCAGAGTCCCTCTTCTTGCCCTCTTCTTCCGAGAGCCAGTGTGGTGTGGTGGTTAAGAGCAGTGGACTCGTAATCTGGTGAACCGGGTTCGCTTCCCCGCTCCTCCACCTGCAGCTGCTGGGTGACCTTGGGCCAGTCGCACTTCTTTAAAGTCTCTCAGCCCCACTCACCTCACAGAGTGTTTGTTGTGGGGGAGGAAGGGAAAGGAGAATGTTAGCCACTTTGAGACTCCTTAAAGGGAGTGAAAGGCGGGATATCAAATCCAAACTCTTCTTCTCTTTTTTTTGCTGCAGAATGCCTCTCCCTTTGGCCCAGGGGCAACCAAGGTGACTCTGCTTACGTAGCCTCGGTGTGCAGTGGGATCAGAAGCGGACTGACCTGGTCTACATCCCGCTTAAAGCCAGGGGGACAGCCAGCACACAACATCCAGAACTGGCCGGCTTAAAGGATTGCTAGCCCAGAGGCGTGCTCTTCCCTTCGCCTACGTCAGGGGCTCAGGCTGGATTTGGGCTAGTGGGTGAAAGTCTTTATCAGATAATCCCAGTTGGAGGATAGATGGGAAGGGCTCCGTCGACCTGGTTGTTGTTGTGGGGTCAAAGCCCACAACCGAAGGAACAGCATCACAAACACCATTAAGGGCATTTCCTTTGGGATCTTAGGGTGGGGAGAGGACCAGGAGACAAAAGGGGGCAGGGATGCCCCACAGAATACAGAGGAGGTGCCAAATGAAGGCTCAGGATGGGATTGGGGAGGTGAGGAAATCAATGCATGATCAAGGAAAAGGAAAAGGTAAAGGGACCCCTGACCATTAGGTCCAGTCGTGGCCGACTCTGGGGTTGCGCTGCTCATTTCGCTTTATTGGCCGAGGGAGCCGGCGTACAGCTTCCGGGTCATGTGGCCAGCATGACTAAGCCGCTTCTGGCGAACCAGAGCAGCGCACGGAAACGCCGTTTACCTTCCCGCCAGAGCGGTACCTATTTGTCTACTTGCACTTTGACGTGCTTTCGAACTGCTAGGTTGGCAGGAGCAGGGACCAAGCAACGGGAGCTCACCCCGTCGTGGGGATTCGAACCGCCAACCTTCTGATCGGCAAGTCCTAGGTTCTATGGTTTAACCCACAGCGCTACCCGCGTCCCATATAGCATATATTCAACACAAAAAACAGCAACAATCTGTTGTTGGCAAAGCACAGCTGGACATATAAAGGGCCCCATTACCTTCAGTACATTCAAAGCTAAATTCGGCCCTGACCCCAAGGGTCATCTAGTCCAAACCTCTGCAGGCAGGAGTCTTTTGGCCAACATGGGACTCGAACCCGAATCTTGGCTCTTCCGGGGGGACTCACCTGGGTAGTGCATCTCGTGCTGGAGCCTCATCTCCACCGGGACCAGGCAGCCTGGGTTGTGCCGCACCCAGTCCATCAGCAGGGAGACATTGTGGACCTGGGCCTGCATGTCGTACAGGAGCGTGGCCTGAATGTGCTGCAGGGTGCTGGCCTCCTGGTAGTGCTGCTCCAGCTCCTGAACCCGCTGCTCCACGGTGGCGTTGCGGCTGGACTTCTCTTCATGCTTCACAGCAGCAGGATGGAGGCCGGCAGGAGACGTGGAATAAAGAAGGACAGTGGAATTAATGGACTATGCAGAATTGGATAAGATGACAGGAAGGAATTCGAAACTTGCAGGACCAGAGATTCTCAGAGGACTGAATATTGGAACTATTGGAAAAGCAATTGTAATAAACGGATTATGCCAGTAGGACTGCGAGACATTTTGTAAGGAGGACTGTGTGAAATATTGCAGAGAAGATAATGAAGAGAGTTATTGGTTAAGGACAATTAAAAGTAATAGGGAAATTAAGAAATGTAGATTGAGTGATAAAGATTGAAAAAACCTTCAGATGCGGTTGATGGAAGTCCAAAACATTGTATAAGATAAGAATATATGTTATTTGATTGTTGGGAATGATATGTAAAAAATTAATTAGATAGATAGATGATAGATGATAGATAGATAGATAGATAGATAGATAGATAGATAGATATAGATAGATATAGATAGATGATAGGTAGGTAGGTAGGTAGATAGATAGATAGATAGATAGATAGATGATAGATAGATAGACAGACAGATAGATAGATAAAGAAGGACAAGCAAAACATTCAAGAGTGGGATGAGTTGCTCCAGAAATAAACATCACCCCCTACCCACCTCCTGAACTGGGCCAACTGGTCAATAGAGGAACAACTCTTTAGAAATTGGTGCCCAATATTGAGGTTTGTTGTGCCTCTTCCCTCCCTATGTCTTTCCACTTTTGTGTTGTGTTTTTGCCCTGACTGTAAGCCTGTGGGGCAGTGACTGCCTTCTTTAATTGGTTGTATGCAGCTGAAGGCAAAGGTAAAGGCCCCCTGGACAGTTAAGTCCAGTCAAAGGTGGCTGGGGTCGCGGCGCTCATCTCGCTTTCAGGCTGAGGGAGCCGGCGTTTGTCCACAGTCAGTTTTCCAGGTCATGTGGCCAGCATGATGAAACCGCTTCTGGCGCAACGGAACACCGTGACGGAAACCAGAGCACATGGAAACACCGTTTACCTTCCCGCCGCAGTGGTACCTATTTATCCACTTGCGCTGGTGTGCTTTCGAACTGCTAGGTTGGCAGGAGCTGGGACACAGCAACAGGAGCTCACCCCATTGCGGGGATTCAAACTGCCGACCTTCTGATCGGCAAGCCCAAGAGTCTCAGTGGTTTAGACCACAGCTCCACCTGTGTCCCTATTTTATGCAACCTGCACTGGCAGCCTTTCTGGCTGAAGAGTGAGGTCCCAAAAACTCCAAACAAACAAACAAACAAACAAACAAACAAACAAACAAACAAGAATGGTCTGGATAGGTTAGTTGGTTAGAGTGTGGTGCTGATAATACCAAGGGTGCAGATTTGACCCCCATGTGGGATGACTAAATTTTCCTGCATTGCAAGGGGTTGGTCTAGATGATCCTCTGGGTCCCTTCTAACTCTACAATTTTAGGATTCTAAGAATGCCCTTTTCTACTGATGCTTTAAAGTATGGGTAGGCAAACTAAGGCCCGGGGGCCAGATCCGGCCCAATCGCCTTCTAAATCTGGCCTGCGGACGCTCTGGGAATCAGTGTGTTTTTACATGAGTAGAATGTGTCCTTTTATTTAAAATGCATCTCTGGGTTATTTGAGGGGCATAGGAATTCGTTCATTAATTTTTTCCCCAAAATATAGTCCGGCCCCCCACAAGGTCTGAAGGACAGTGGACCGGCCTCCTGCTGAAAAAGTTTGCTGACCTCTGCTAAAGGATGGGCAAAATGCAGTGGGCAAGCTTGCTGAGGAAACATTGTGCTGGGGAATAATAATAATAATAATAATAATAATAATAATAATAATAATAAAATATAATAATAATAATAATAATAAAATATAATAATAATAATAATAATAATAATAATAATAATAATAATAATAATAATAATTATTAATAATAATAATAATAATAATAATAATAATAATAATAATAATAATAGTTATTTATTATCATTTGTACCCCACCCATCTGGCTGGTTTTCCCCAGCCACTCTGGGCGGCTTCCAACAAAGATTAATAATACATTAAAATGTCACACATTAAAAACTTCCCTGAACAGGGCTGTATTGCACTATAAGGCGGTCCATGATGCACATTCCTAACACACACACACACACACAATGTACAAGACTTGTGTGGCCGAACCCCTTATGACCTGATGGCTCTGGTGTGATTGAGATCTCTGGCTCATCTGTCTGATCTGTCATTAGCCAACCCCCCCAGAGAAGCTTATCTGGCAAAGGGCAGGGACCCTCTGCAAAGAATTAAAGGAAGAGAACTTGTGATCCTCTCGTCTCGCACGGAGGCACTTTGTGGCAGCGGGAAGCTCAGCAGAGAAATAAGCAAACATGTGTTGGATAAAGGGCATGATCCAAGGAGAGCACGCTTGGTACGAAACCCAGCACAGGGACGTGAACCAACGCGGGGCACACAATTCCCTGAGGTTCTCCTTCTTGAAGCTCCTTTAGAGTAGGAGCCCCTTTGCACTGGGACTCATGCAGGAAGACAAGAACATGAGGAAAGCCTGGTGGATCAGGCCCGTGGCCCGCCTAGTCCAGCATCCTGGTCTCACAGCGGCCAACCAGACGCCTGCAGGAAGCCTACAGCGAGCACAAGAGGTCTATACCCTCCTGTGGTTTCCAGGATATCTTCCTACTGGACTGCTTCTAAAATCCATTGGTCCCACAATCTGCAGACTAACAGGAAATGAAATTGATTTATCTCTTAGCTGAGCTACCATGGGAACCTGGCATGGGAGTCCCTTGCCTAGTGGTGGGGCTTGCGCCAGAGACATCATCAGGAAACTGAGCTCAGATTTATTTATGTTATTGCTATTATGGTGATGGTACACCTGTGCAGGTGTTCTCATACTTCATCACAGTCATCACAGGTGGGGTTCTGGGCTCTGGGGGGTTTCCTTCCATTTTTGACTGGGAGGCCCCCAGGTTTCATACTTCTGCTTCCAGGAGTATCTAAAATAAATATCCAAAATAACTAAATCACCTGTTCAGGTCCCCCCACAGCTGTCATTCCTGAATATGTGAATCATGGAATTATAGAAATGTAAGGACTCCTTATGGGGTCCTTGCTGTGGGATCACATTCATCCAGTGCTTTACCAACTGCACTGGCTCCCGGTGGAGTACAAGGTCAGGTTTAAGGTGCTGGTTTTGACCTTTAAAGCCCTAGGACCCATGTACCTATGGGACCGCCTCTCCTGGTATGCCCTGCGGAGGACCTTAAGGTCCACAAATGACAACATTTTGGAGGTCCCAGGTCACAAGGTGGTTAGATTGGTCTCAACTAGGGCCAGGGCCTTTTCAATACTGGCCCCGACGTGGTGGAACGCTCTGTCCCAAGAGACTAGGGCCCTGTGGGACTTGATATCTTTCCGCAGGGCCTGCAAGACAGAGCTGTTCCGCCTGGCCTTTGGTTTGGACTCAGTCTGACCCTTATGTTTCCCTCCCCTTATGGTTCTGATCTATGGGCTACTTTTAAAATGAGGCTGCATTTTAAATTACATCTTAACCTGTATTTTTCGCTCTATAGGACGCACCGGACCATAGAACGCACTGGACCATAAGAGGAGGAGAACAGGGAAAAAAATTCTCCCCCTCTCTGCGCAGCGCCCCTTCAGCAAAGTGGGAGTGAAGCGAAGCCTGGAGAGCAAGAGGGATTGGTGTGCACCGACCCCTCTCGCTCTTCAGGCGGCTATCCGCAAGCCTTCGGAGCACAGCAGGAACGCTCCGAAGGCTTGCGGATAGCTGCCTGAAGCCCCCGGAGTGCAGAGGGAACTCCTGCTGTGCTCCGAAGGCTTGTGGATAGCTGCCTCAAGCCCCCGGAGCGCAGCGGGAGTTCCCTGCGCTCCAGGGGCTTCAGGCAGCTTCAGCGAAAGCAACGTGAAGCCTCCGGAGTGCGGGGGGGGGGGCTCTCCCTCTGCGCTTCGGAGGCTTCCCATTGCTATCGCTGAAGCCAAGGAGCCTGCATTCGCTCCATAGGATGCACACACATTTCCCCTTCATTTTTGGAGGGGGAAAAGTGCGTCCTATAGAGCGAAAAATACGGTAAATTGGTGTCCCCCCCGTTATGTTTTTACTGTAATTTTAATGGTGCTAGCTGCCCTGAGCCCGGCTCTGGCCGGGGAGGGCGGGGTATAAATAAAATGTATTATTATTATTAGAGTTGGAAGGGACCTGAGGGTCATCTAGTCCAACCCCCTGCAATGCAGGAATGTCAACTAAAGCATCCATGACAGGTGGCCCTTCAACCTCTGCTTAAAGACCTCCAAGGAAGATGAGTCCACAACTTCCCAAGGGAGACCATTTCCCTGTCAAACAGTTCTTGCCTCCACAAAGTTCTTCCTGATGTTTAGCAAGACAACAGCTGGAGAATTTATGACATGGGTGCTTAGCTGCAGCTGGGATTTCAATAGCCCACAATGGGAAACCTTGAACCAAAATCTGCTTTTGGCTTGGTGGTATAATAACTTGTGGACATTGTCTATTGCGAGGGGAAATCGCACACATGCTGCGTGTTTCCAGGGGTGTGGTTGGAGGATGGATGGCAGTTAATGGATTGAGGTTGAATCCTGACAAGACAGAAGGACTGTTTTTGGGGGACAGGAGGCAGGCCGGTGTGGGGGACTCCCTGGTCCTGAATGGGGTAACTGTGCCCCTGAAGGACCAGGTGCGCAGCCTGGGAGTCATTCTGGACTCACAGCTGTCCATGGAGGCGCAGGTCAATTCTGGGTCCAGGGCAGGTGTTTACCAGCTCCATCTGATATGCAGGCTGAGACCCTACCTGCCCTCAGACTATCTCACCAGAGTGGTGCATGCTCTGAAGGCGGCCCTGTTTAGGGAAGCTTTTAATGTTTAACAGACCACTGTATTTTAATACTTTGTTAGAAGCCACCCAGAGTGGCTGGGGAAACCCAGCCAGATGGGTGGGGTATAAATAAATTATTATTATTATTATTATTATTATTATTATTATTATTATTATTATTATTAAAAATGCTTTTATGTCAGCCATGGGGATTTTATTTACTAAACTCCAGACTTAGATGCTCAATGTACACCATCCATTCACGCCACCTAAGGAAATATGGATGTCTCGATTTGTATTGCTGTGTCGCCGTTTCTTTCTCTTGCTATTTACTGCTTGTTGGTTTTGTAAACTGCATGATGCAGTACCTTGCTGCCACATTTTTGGGTTGCTACTAATGTTAATCAAAGTTAAAGCATGATGGTGATCAACTAATTAATACCAGGATTGTAGGTGCTCTCATCCTCAGAGAGGAGCAACCAGATTTGTGCAGGTGATGGACGCAAAATTGCAGAATGGTTCCAGTAAACAAATTCTGAGCTCCGTCGGATGGCAAAGATTTATGAGTCTTAATAATAAGAAAATATTGTTTCTTCCTAAGGGGCCAAATCTCCCTTCCTTCTGTAATTCATACCTGGAGAACAGCCATCCTTTCTCTTACTCGATTCTCTATTTTCTTTTTTTCATTTACATAACCTCCAGTTATGCAAAAATTAAAGCACATATTGCAATCTGTTCTCTTCTTACATCCAGGAGCGAAACAAAAAATAAATAAATAGGGAAGCTATTTTTATTTGGTAGATTAATCAACTAACAGTCCAATCCTAAACTTGCCTACTTGGAAGTTAAGTCCTGTTGAACAGGAAAAGGCTTGCTCCCAAGTAAGTGGTGTGAGGATGGCAGACTAAGGGGGGCAACTGATGCATTTGTTTTGACAGACTCCTCCCTCCCCATTGCATCCCAAATCTTCTCCAGAGCATTGGGGAAGACCCCGGAACAGATTTAGAAGGTGCCTGGAGGGCTGGGAGGGGGAAAATGCCATTGCACCAGCAGAAATCCTTACACGAATGGAACGAGTTGCTTACTGCTACATTTAATACAAGCCCACATTTTTAGTTGATTAAATTGTAGAGAGACATTTAAATTTGGCATGGTACTGAGTTAAGCATGTATTTAGTTTCAGAGGCTAGTTTTAAAGAATCCCAGACACTGTCAAAAGCTGTTGAAAGAGTGCAAATATTTACCTGTAATCAATCAATCAATCAATCAATCAATCAGAAAGCAGATGGTTAATCAAATAAACTGGGTGGCAGTCTGTCCTCTCCTCCTCTGCCCAATCCCACCACTCAGGAGCAAAAGGTTTATTTAATTCTAATCAACAACCCCCTTTTTCTGGATAAAGGCTCTCTCAATCCTACCTAGGCTTCCTATTGCCTTATGGCAGGCTTCCTCAACCTCGGCCCTCCAGATGTTTTGAGACTACCATTCCCATCATCCCTGACCACTGGTCCAGCTAGCTAGGGATCATGGGAGTTGTAGTCCCAAAACATCTGGAGGGCTGAGGTTATGGAAGCCTGCCTTATGGGGTCTCAGCTCTGGGATTCCAATACCTCAAGCAATCTCCTCTAACTAGTGATATTCTGTTGCCGCCTTATAAACACTAATAAATCTGATTTATTCTGTCACAGACATGATAGCTTGGCCAAATGGCCATCTGTTAGAGACTCTTAAGTTGATATCCCTGCATTGCTGGACTAGAAGATCCTTAGGATCCACTCCAACTTTACTGTTCTATGATTTTGGGATGGTAAAAGCTGACTATAGCAGATTCTTATATGATTTGTTTCTAATAAATGTGTTTGGATACCACATGCTTGGCATGAGCCAACAGCGTGACTCAGCAGCAGAAAACGCTAATTTTGTTCTAGGCTGCATCAACAGAAGTATAGTGTCCAGGTCATGGGTAGGCAAACTAGGGCCTGGGGGCCGGATCCGGCCCATTTGCCTTCTCAATCCAGCCAGCGGACGGTCCAGGAATCAGCGTATTTTTACATGAGTGCCCTTTTATTTAAAATGCATCTCTGGGTTATTTGTGGGGTATAGGAATTCGTTCATTCCCTGACCCCCAGATATAGTCTGGCCCCCCACAAGGTCTGAGGGACAGTGGACCGGTCCCCTGCTGAAAAAGTTTGCTGACCCCTGGTCAAGGTCAAGGGAAGTAATAGTACCACTCTATTCTGCCTTTGGCTGATTAATATCCTATAGCAGCAGTTCTCAGCCTGTAGGTCCCCAGATGTTTTTGGACTACAAATCCCATCACCCCTGAGCTCTGGCCTTGCTAGCTAGGGGTGATGGGAGTTGTAGTTCAACAAAATATGGGGACCCACAGGTTGAGAAAGGCTGTCCTATAGCCCTTTAAATGTATCTGTGGGAAGTGGGGTGGTCATTATTTTGTTGCGTTGGTTTAATTATTTACTTGTGTTCTATCTTGTATTTTATTCCGTAAACTGCCCTGGGATGTCTTGATTGATTGATTGATTGATTGATTGATGAATGAATGAATGAATCTGATGTCACAATAGCATCATGTGACTGACAGGTGGGTTTCTTCAACCATGGGAGTGGGGACAGATCCAGCCCAATGGTCCCCAAAGTCTCCCTATACCTAAGTTGCTGCCCATGTTTTCCCCCATTAAGAAACTCACCTGCAGCTCCAAAATCTTGATGCGGTGACGATGGTTCCTCAGCTCCTCCTGGAGCTCTGAGATGAGTTCCCGCAGTTCCAGGATCTGTTGCTTCCTCTCCTCGTTCTCGTGGAGCCAGTAGGAGACTTCGTCCGTGCAACGGAACATGTCAGGGCACCTCTGCTGGTCCAGTTGCGGCAAGGTGGCAATGATCTTGCACCTGCCATTGGGCAGGACCTGGTTGCTGTATTCTCCACACTGGATGAGTCCAGGGCTCCCTTGGTGGCCGTCATCTCCGCTCATCCCTTCGCCATCGGCCGCCAGGGGTCTCTGCAGGGAGCGGCGGTTCAGGAAAGCCAGGAAGAGGAGTGTTTGTGCCACCAGCCTTTGGGGTCCTGAAGGCACCCCAAGCTTCATGGTGCCCAGGCCAGCTGGCAATGGAACAGCCACTCGTTCAGAGGGTGGCCGCTATGGAGAAGTCTCCTTGGTGCAAACCCCAAACTTTGCATTGGCGTGGAAAGGAAGTGATCCACCGCAAGGGAGAGCCTAAGGCTGAATGTGGAGCTGCCATCGGGATTGCAAAGTTATAGGTGTGCGTCGATTCGAGAACCCAGGAAATGTGGTCCAGAGGATGGCAAGAGTGAATTCCACTCCTCTCCGTTATTCCGCCTTGGATGGGATAATGCCAGCTCAATCTAGGACCCAAGGTCTTCTCCAAACCTCATTGAGGCTGTGTGCTTAGACTCAGGTTTTCCTTGGATTAAATTGAGCAGATTGCCTGCAACTGGTGCATTTTTCATGGAGGATAACAGCTCGAAGGACAGGTTTCCTGGCACCAAGGTTTCAGCACCATGGACAAGTCCTCCAGCAAGTCGTTTGCCCCCAAAGGAGGACCCAGTAGACGACTCACAGAGACTGCTGTTCATGCATCGATCACAAACAGCTGATTGTTTTAGGAATTTCCTAGGTCTCTTTCCTTCAATTGGGAAAAAAAGCAGAAAATGAAAAAGAAAAGTTTCTTAACATTTAGGGCAGTCTTTCCCAACTGGGTTTTTGGACAGCAAATCCCATCAGTCCCAGAACACATGGCCCATGAACACCCACATTGCAGGGAGTTGCTCTTCATGGTTCCTTCCAACTCTACAGTTCTATGATTCTATGAAAATTCATATTTAAAATTCAAGTTTCTAAGATATTTTACTTTAGAGCGAGCAAATTACAGGGGAAACATTTTGCGTGGTTTCAAGGCACCCTTGCCAAATCATCCTTAGTTTTTGCAAAGGGTAGGAATACCAAAATTTCACTGTCAAAAATATTGACCATGGTCTCTCCAGGAGCCACTTCTGAGATTGCTTCATGGCACTGCCTTCCTCTGAATTACTCCTCAGAACCCACCATTTGCCTATAAGAACATTTATATACTGTCATGCCATTAAAATATATATATCAATGAATTTATTGATATGTATAGACTTATTTCACAAAGTTAAGTTAAGCTAAGCAGATATATAAGATTGAATGTTTAATTATTAAGATACAAAATTACAATCTCAATAATAAAGTTACAAAATAATAACAAGGAAGTCACGCACAGGTCAAGGGAAGACACAGGGCAAGAAATAAGAAATGGATAAATGTAGGTATATAATGAAATGTGAAAATGTGAATTTATGAATATAATGTATATGCATCAATATGTAAAGATTTCACATATGTATTGCAACATTAATAATAAAGAAATTAAGTGCAATATATATATATCAATGAGATATTTTATTGCTGTAAAACTATAAAACCATACAATAAAAGCTATTAAAAAGACAGGCATCCATTCATAGAATCATAGATTCATAGAGTTGGAATAGAGCACAAGGGCCATCGAGTCCAACCCCCTGCCAAGCAGGAAACACCATCAGAGCACTCCTGACATATGGTTGTCAAGCCTCTGCTTAAAGACCTCCAAAGAAGGAGACTCCACCACACTCCTTGGCAGCAAATTCCACTGTCGAACAGCTCTTACTGTCAAGGAAGTTCTATGCCTCCAGGGAGGAGGCGAAGGCGGCGTAGAGACAGGAGGCAAAGGCGGGGTTGTCGGGCTGGTGTCCTGGTAAGATTACAGAGGAGTCCATCTAAGCCACCACTCCCTAGCATATTTCTTGCTAATGTGAGATCTCTTGCCAACAAGATGGATGAATTGAGGCTGCAGGCAGCAAAGAATAGCCTTGTAAAAGATTGCTGCGTTTTATTTGTCATTGAGACATGGCTTCAACCGTCCATACCAGACACAGCTATTCAGTTGGAAGGCTGTGCGGTACATCGTCAGGACCGAGGCATGGACTTCGGAAAAACCAAAGGAGGGGGGCTGTGTGTATATGTGAACAAATGCTGGTCCAATAATTCTAAGATTGTGGGCAGTCACTGTTCACCGGATTTGGAATATGTGGCTGTTAAATGTAGACCAGCCTATCTCCCTAGGGAGTTCACAGCTGTTATGCTAACTGGCGTGTACGTGCCACCAGATGCCAATGCCAACTTGGCTTTGGGATGCCTGCAGAGCCTTATCAGCAGTCAGCAAGACAAGTATCCTGAAGCTGTGCACATCATTGCGGGAGACTTCAACCATGTTGAACTTAAAACAGTGCTTCCAACGCTCTATCAGCATGTGAAATGCCCCACAAGAGGGGATAAGACACTGGATAAAGTTTATTCGAATGTAAATCACGGCTATAGGGCTTTACAGCTGCCACACTTGGGCCAGTCCGACCATATGTCTCTGTTCCTGGTACCAGCATATATCCCACTCAGGAAACGGGCTCCTACAATATTAAAATCTGTTAAAATCTGGCCTGAAGGTGCTATTCACCAGCTGCAGGACTGTTTTGAGAGAACCAATTGGGATATTTTCGATCGTTCGGACCTGGAGGAGCACACGGCGGCAGTTCTGTGCTATATCAATCACTGCACAGACACTGTCACAGTAAATAAATCCATCCGGTTTTATCCTAATCAAAAACCCTGGATGAATGGAGAGGTCCAGTGCCTGCTGCGGGAAAGGAACAGGGCTTTCAGGTCGGGCGAGGTGCAGCTTTACAGTGTGGCAAGAGCAAACTTGAAGAGGGGTATTCGACGGGCAAAACTGGATTATAGGCAGAGGATTGAGGATAATTTAAGGAGCAACAACATAAGACAGATGTGGCAGGGGATTCAGCATATTACCAACTACAAACCTAACCTTGGCGCTGTCGACGGTGACCCTTTGCTGGCGGAGGAGCTTAACCTCTTCTTTGCTCGCTTCGAGAAGGAGCCACCTGAGACGCCGGTATTACAGCCACCAGCCCATAGGGGCCCCTCATTCACTGTAGAGGAGCACGAGGTGAGACAAGTATTGAGGATGGTGAATCCGAGGAAGGCGGCTGGACCTGATGGCATCACTGGAAAGGTGTTGAAGGGCTGTGCGGATCAGCTGGCGAGGGTCTTTACTAAGATCTTCAACAAGTCCTTACACCAGTCTATTGTCCCACCCTGCCTGAAGTCGTCAACTATTGTCCCTCTGCCTAAAAAATCCACAATCAGTAGTTTGAATGACTACAGACCAGTTGCACTGACTCCAATCATCATGAAGTGTTTTGAGAAACTGGTGCGCCGTCATATTATTTCCTGTCTTCCATCAACTTTTGACAACTACCAGTTTGCATACAGGGCAAATAGATCCACAGAAGACGCTATCACCACCACTCTCCATGCTGCTCTGTCCCATCTGGAGCAGCCGGGGAATTATGTGAGGCTGCTGTTTGTGGATTTTAGCTCTGCTTTTAACACTATCCTCCCCCATAGACTGGTGTCCAAGCTAGAGACGATTGGACTCTCCAACTCCACCTGTCTCTGGGTTTTGGATTTTTTGTCAGAACGTTCTCAGAGGGTTAGAGTAGGGTCACATGTGTCCACAGCCCTCAGCCTTAACACTGGCTCACCACAGGGTTGCGTGTTGAGTCCCCTGCTCTATGCTCTCTATACGTATGACTGTACAGCCATCTACTCCAGCAACAAAATCATCAAGTTTGCTGATGATACTACGGTGGTGGGGCTCATTTCAGGAGGGGATGAGTCCGCCTATCGGGACGAGGTGGAGCGGCTCTGTGTTTGGTGTGGAGAGAACAATCTGGCTCTTAATACGGCTAAGACCAAGGAATTGGTGGTGGATTACAGGAAAAAAAAGGCGGACATTCAGCCCTTGTATATCAACGGGGAATGGGTGGAGAGGGTGGCGGAATTCAGGTTTTTGGGAGTGACTATCGATCAGGGCATGACTTGGAGCGCAAATACCACTGCTCTGGTGAAGAAGGCCCAGCAGAGAATTTATTTCCTCAGACTTTTAAAAAAGAACAATCTGAGTGAGAGACTGCTGGTGTCCTTCTACCGAGGCTCCATAGAGAGCA